TTTTTCAGATCACTACGCAAAATATTTTCTTTTTATTTAGGTGATAGCAAAAATCCCTCATTACTTTTTAGATCATTCAGAAAAATTCAATACTTTATCTTTTTTGAAAGATAACGCTCTTTTTTTCATGGTGTTTAGATGGTGATGATAAACTATCTATTAGATAATTGCTTTTCAAACCATTACACAGAATATTTTCTTTCGGATTATTAACAAAGATTACTAATTTCTATTTATATTAGAATATCGGATCATGCCAAATGGTTCTTCTTTTTTTTTGGATGATAGCAAAAATCCCTGATTATCTTTTAGATCATTCAGAAACATCCATTCATTACACTTGTCTTTTTTAAAAATGACAACAATTTTTTCTCATGGTTTTAGATGGTGATGATATACCATAGAAAAGACCCGGATCTCTCACATTCCATCAGAAAAATTAATTAGTAAAAATAATTAGTAGAAAATTACCCGAGTCAGTTGATCCGTACGGGTCACGGGTCGAAAATTAATCTAACTCGGGTCAAACGGGCCAGAATTTAAAATAGGCAAAATTTATTTATTTTAATGTGTTATTTATTAGGAGTTTGCTATTTATCGCCACTGGTGATCATCACCAGTGTTGCTATATCTCAAAAACGTACTAAGTAAACGGGATCGGGTCCTCTAAGTAAAAATGTTCAGGTCCCCCAAAAACCTCACGAGAATTGAGATCGGGCCCTTATAGTAGCTCTATAATATATTATATAAAAAAACAATAATTCTCTAATTTCTAACCCTAACCCTAACAAATCTTAGGACTGGTGATAATCACCACTGGCGATAAATAGTAATTTTGTATTTATTATACCTATATAATCATATTGATAGATTACAATTTTACTAAAGCTCTTACCGAGACAGTACGGGTCAGTTTCTTGATAGGTCATGAGTCAAAAATTGGATCTAGTAGTATGGATAAAGACTAATAAACTCGGATTGCGATTAAGGTCGAAGAAATTTATGATATCGTATATAATAGAGCTGGGATCCACGATTGAAAATGAATATTCAATTAAAAGTGAATATTTGGTTGCACAAAATTCACGAATAGTTAAAGATTAGAGTATTATTAGTTTTTTACACGGAATTCGTGAATATTCGATATGAATAATCTAAGATTTTACTATTACGTGAACATTCAATATCATTCGTGGATGACAAATATTCATTGAATAGTCATAATGGATATTCAGCGGATCCCAGCTCTACCGTATAAGCGCGAAATAACGCTCGTGGGCGTTATTTTGAAAATCTAATTCTTCAAAAAATAGTTTATGTGGTCTCGAATTAGCGTCCATTGGCGTTCCGAACTAACGCGCAGTAGCATATAATCATTGTTGAAAAAATGATACACAGCCGACCTTCCATAAGTGTATCCTTTATAAGTGCACTTTCTTTCCATAAGCGCGCTTCACATACACTTCTTTCTATAAGTGCACATCATTTGATCCGTCTAATGTAACGTAATATCATATGTAGATTACATTCCATAAGTGCACATTCCGTGCGCTTTTCCTAATTACATACGTTTATGGGGACGTCTAAAGAGGAGTAGATTTTTATAATATATATTTATTGAATTAACTTTAGGATTAGAATCATCTTATATTAGTGATAGATTATGTTTTAGACAATTATATATAAGCAAATTCCCTTCCCGACATTTTTAATTAACTTACCCAAGGTAGGTTTAGACTGCCGTTTTTTGTATTTTCGGGGGTTTCGCTTTTATTTCTTGTCTTGATAATCAAATTTATAATTTGATTAGCCATATTTCACATGATTCTGCTCCGCCTTAGACGACTCCCATTTATGGAAGATTGACGGTATTGGATTCAAAAAAAAAAAACACCTCTTCTTTCGATGGGCGTATCCAAATAACGCGCAGGTCAATTAATTAACGCGCAGATGGCGCTTATACGGTACAAACTCCGAAAAGATCCGATTTAAATATTTGTCAGCATGTTTAGATATGCTTATAGATGCTGGTGAAATGTGGTGAAATGTGGTGAAATAATTTCACCTCTATTGGTGAAATTGGTGAAATTAATTTCACCAGCATCTATAGATATGCTACGACGGGCACACATCAAATGACTCGTTGATAACCCGGGTCGTTATTTTCCGACCCGGGTAATGCCTCCTTTATATGGCCGTTTACGGTAAAATAATTGTTCTTCAGATCATTACGCAAAATACTTTTCCGGATTATTTTAATTTCTATTTACATTAAAATGTCAATCATGCCAACAATAATTTAAACGATGGCAAAAATCCCTCATTACCTTTCAGGGATGGTAAATGACCTGGTCATTTGATCAAAATTTAAATGACCCAAAATGACCTGTCATTTACATAAGATAATTTTATTGGTTTTATAACTAAAAAGGTTATTAGTTTTCTAGTCGATAATCATACAGTATAAGTTAAAGTTTACCAAGCTAGTCGTTATTTACAGTATGTTTTAAGCAAAGTTTCGGAATAACTAATTGCATATACTCTAAAAGTTTCATGTAATTTGAATAACTCTATTGATGCATTCCGCATTCATTTCCATTTAAATAAAAAAAATTCTTAATCTTCCATAAATGTGAAAGTGAATTAATAAAAAGTTATTCAAATTACATAAAACTTTTGGAGTATATGCAATTTGTCCTTTTGAAGCTTTACTTAAGGCATAAATATTGATTAGTTTAATAAATTTTGACTTTTAAAAAAGTTACGATTATTAATTGTGCTTTATCATATAAAAATTTGCATTTATCCTGTAACCAATTTTAATGATTAAAAAGTGTTAGAACACCAATTAACGTATGTTAAATGACCTTCTCAGTCATTTAGGCATTCGAAATGACCAATGACTAGCCATTTGTCATTTCATCTCAAGTCATTTACCATCCCTGTTAACTTTTACTATTATTCTTTTAAGAAATGATGACAAGTTCTTTCTCACGGCCTTTTAGATGGTGATGGTGATAATATCTATCTTTTTTGTTTTTCAGATATTACGCGAAATTTTTCCATATTGTCAAGTAATTGCTCATTATAAGTCTCTTTAACCCAGCTAGAAATCGCATGTACAGGCAGTTTTGACGATCAGTATCGATAATATCATGACATTACTGTACGTGTGAATTCTGTGCCAGGCTTGTAACACATATTTGCAGTTAACAAAATTCTTTGAAGTTCATTGATGTTAGGGTTAGAATTTATATTTAGGTTAGAAGTTAGAAATCTATACAGTAAAATCGCTCAAAAAACTTTGTTAAAGCACCAAAAGCGGTTTCTTATGCGAGTTTTTAGAATGGGCGATTTTTTTTTGATAATACAGACGTTGAATTTTTCTAATTGTGGTGCGTTATACCTGAGCTTGAAATCTGATTTGTAGTTCATGAAGTCTGCGCCATAAGAATCATATGTACGACCAATTATTGATCGTTTAAAGTTTTCATTTAGTAAATCTATATTGTTTCTAAAAAATTTTATTATTAGGTGATCCAGAATTAAAATAAATGGGAGTTTAAAAATCCCATTTCCGTAACCAGAAAAACAAAATACTGAAATAGGTATATTTTTCTGATGATATATAATTCGAAATAAGAAAACTGAACATTAATTCTGAATCACCCTATTGAGTAAAAAATTTCAATAGTTCTACTTTAACATAAATATAATTTAGTTGTATCGAAATTCAACAAAGTTGGTCGAAATATGCGAAATTCTGAAAGTTGCCAAGTAGGATAAAGTGTTAAAGGCTTCTAGAAGTCTGAAGCAAATGACTTGATTGAACATTTTATTGAGATATCTCAAAAAAAAAAAAAAAATTAACTTGAAACTGATTCCAAAAAAAACATAATAAGGGGTTTCAGAATAAACTTCGTAAATAAAATAACAGATAAGATGACGTACGTACTTATTTTGAAATAAGTGATTTATTTTTTTAATTAAAATTCGAATACACTTATTTATATGATCTTCCTTATTATAAATTGTTATTCTAATACCGTTTTATGCTTAACATGACTAAAATTTCACATCGACAACGTCAAATTAAACAAATAATTAGTCTTTTAAAGACACTTATGATACTCAATTAGCACGAATAAGGCTATTACTTAAGTTCTGGATAAAGCAATCGACGAACTATTCGAATTAATACAAGTCATAGAACTGGATCAATATCTTACTATACGTGAAAGAACAATTAAATCTAACGATTTTTTTCAAGTAAGCTATATATAAAAAAATTTAAGCGAAAGTTTAATAAATTATATAAAAAATAATTTAAGCGAAAGTTTAATAAATTATATAAAAAATAATTTAAGCAAAAGTTCAGTAAGTAATAAAAAAAAATAATTTGAGTGAAGGTTTAGTAAGTTATAAAAAAAGTAATTTGAATAAGTAATTTGAGTGAAGGTTCAGTAAGTAATTTGAGCGAAAGTTCAGTAAGTAATTTGAGCGAAAGTTTTATTATTACTCTGTATTTTGTTATTAAATAGTTTGTTGATCTGCATAATAAAAAATTTTTTAACTTTTAATTCTAAAACCCCTTAATAGGGTGATTCAGAATTATTGCGTTTTGCAAAAAGATGTGATTGGCTCGTCAACGAAGTGACGGAGCCAGCATTATTGCGAGATCAATTATTTTGGTCACATGAACAAGGCACGTGAACACGTGCGAAAGAAACTATTTGTATATGTAATAATTGAAGAACAATGATGTAATTTGGTTATTTTGCATAATAAATGTAGTAAGAAATTTGTGTGCTATGCTATAAGTAAATGTGTCGTATGAATGATGAAAAATGTCATAATTAAGGGTTTATAAGCATTCGAATTGAATCAATGAAGTCTCTATCTTTTGGTTTCGCTATTGTCTGCCTTGCATTATTAGGCTGGCTCTGTCGAATACATAGCATACTGAAAACAAAAATTAAATAAAATAAACAAACCAAACCATGTCATCGTCTAATAGTATTACTGATAAATCGTCATCAATCACTTGGACTAAGTTGTCCTTGGGTGAATTACGGGACCTGTGTATAGTTTGTGGTTTAGCTACAAATGGAAATAAGGAGGAATTAAGTGCCAATTTAAAGGCCTATTTTGAAAAAAGAAAAGAAAAGTTACCTGCAATGTTATTTAGAGACGAAGTTGGTGTGGATAATCCTGATAACAATGTGAATCCAAATAATTAGTGAAGTGAAAATGGAGAAGGGGAAAACCTAAGAAATGCAGGTGTTAACAATGTAATTGAGAACGATGATTTTTTCATTTTAGACCCACAGTGTGATCAGGGCCATTTTAAGGACAATGCTAATGCATTGCCCCACAATAGTGTTAAGTCAAATAATGATTCAAATTTAGGCACTTCTGATTCCTTTCTCTCAGCCTTGAGAAAGATAGAGAAGAAAATGGATCAGAATTTTGTGCTTTTACAAGACCAGCAAATTAGAGAAACAGAAGAGGAAAGTTTTTTAGATGAAGCATGGCCTAGGGTAAAATTGAACAAACCTCGTGACTAACATGAATATGACTTTCTTATTAGAATTGGGAAAAGACTTGATAGAGTTATTAGATCATCATTTGATTTTACCAAAAGTGAGCTTATGTCTATGAGAGATGATGTAGAATCCCGTGCTGTGATGTTATGTTTAGCTAATGATAGAGGATAGGCAACAGCATTGCAGATAGTTGGTTGCAATAATAAAATGATAGGAAAATATAAAGATCGTATTCTAGCAGTTTCAGCATCGCCATTTTACAAAGCAGGGAGTTGGAATAGTAAAAGGAAAAGCAGTTTCTATAAAGATGATAAAAAAGGTTCAAGTAGCAAATATTATTATGCTTCAATATCATCTTTCGAATCTGAGCAAGGAGAAGCATATTGGCAAAACAAGAAAAGGAAGAAATCTTATCCCTTTCATGCAGGGAAGGATAAAAAGCCAACAGGTTATTCAAAAGCATTTACCTGTTATAACTGTGGCGGAATTGGTCACTTCTCCACAAATTGTCCTTTCCCAAATGCAAAATCATTTCAAAACCTAAGCAAGAAGGTTGACAACACTCGGGCTCCAATAGAGAATATAACACATGCTCAGCAACAAATTCCTTGCATAACAAACTCAGTAGTTGGAAAGATCCACACTTTAGAAGCGATAAATTATTGGAAAAAGAAAATCTAACCAGCACCTATAATATTGGATTGGTTAGAAAAAGGAATACCATTGTGGCCAAAGGGTGTTTTACCACTTGCAATAAAATCAGACCCCAAACAATTTTCTCTATCAGCAGACCAAATGGAATGGTCTTTAAATGAGTTAGAAAGATTATAAAGAACAACAGCCATTCGCTATTTAGGGAATTAGCCAAAAAGGCCAGACTTTTTATTAGAAGTCAGTCCAGTATTTCTATTACCCAAAAAGGATCAAAAGAAATGGCGATTAGTAATCGATTTGAGAAGACTAAACAAAACATTACCAGAAAAGAGTTTTCGATTCAAAGATTTAGGAGGGTTTCTTCGAACTGTTGGAAGGAATTGGTATGTAATCACTTTAGATTTAAAGGAGGGATATCACCATGTGCTAATGACAGACAATGCACAGAGATTTTTGGGCTTCAGAATTATGGGAAAATGGTACTATTACAGAGTGCTTCCATTCGGCCTTTTCAGATTTTTTCAAAAATTATGAGAGCAATTATAGGCCATTGGCAGTCATTGGAAATATTTTGTAGAAACCATGTCAACAACATTTGGGTAGCACACCCATCACAAGAAATTTTAAAAGAAATAAGAGACACAGTTATAGATGTGGATTTAAGAAATTGTGGTTTTGTAAAAGAGCCTAGCAAAGGCCAGTAGGAACCTACCCAATGTCTAAAATTTTATGGCCTAATCCTGGATACTATCAAAGCCGAAGTAATTGTATCTGGGGAAAAAATTATAGAAACATGAAAATTGTTAATAGAGAGTGCAGAGAAAAAATGTATATCAGCCCGTCAATTAGCTGCAGTTGCAGGAAAAATCCAGTCATTAAACAGAGCCTTTCCTCAAGCAAAAGTGCGATGTTTAGAATTTTATTCAATAATCGATGTGGCCAATAGAAAGTGCTAGGATACTCAAATAAGGCTATCAGATCAAGCAAAAGAAAACATGTATTGGATTGCCCAGAATCTAGCCAAAAACAATGAGAAACCAGTATGGAAATCTTCAAAGATAAAAGTAGTTTTTGTCGATGCATCAACAATTGGATGGTCAGTAGTTTGTGAGGGCCACAGAGCATATGGAAATTGGAAAACAAAAAAGTCACACAGAGAAATAACAAAATTAGAGTCAGAGGCAATGTTATTTGGGATAAAGTCATTTGCAAACATACTTACCCACTCATGGATAGATCTTTATATAGACAATCGTGGAGCTTTAGCAACAGTAGTAAAGAAAGGCAGTTTACCTTGGCAAAAAGAAATTTTGCAGAGATTATGGCAACTGTTAGACAAATTCGATATTTGGTTGAACAAAACCTTTTGGGTTCCATCTTAGAAAAATATAGCCGACGAGCTAACTCGAGCTATAGACAAAACTGATTGGAAATTAAATCAGATGATATTTGCTTGGTTAGAGGAGATGTGGAGCCTACATACAGTAGATTATATAGCCAATCATCAGAATGCAAAAGTTTTGCGTTTTAACAGCCAGTTTTATTGCCCTGGCACAGAGTTGGAAAGGCAAAAACAATTATGTTTGCCCACCTTTAGGACTAGTTCATCGAGTGTTTCAGCATGTGATAGAGGGAAGTTTAACAGCAACAATAATAGTTCCACAATGAGTGTCAGCAGAATGGTGGCCACTATTAATAAAGTGCAAAGTAAAGCAGATAGAACTACCTCTGCCACAAATAACCTTTGAGAAGAGAGTCTCAGGAGAAGTGGAGCCATGGAACAACCTAAAGTGGAAATTTCTAGCAGTGAGAATAAATTAGTTGATTTGTTATTGATCAGAGCCCGGGAATTGATTAAGAAAGCAAGTTCTAGTAATTGGAACAATCGACTAGATAAGGCCTAGGATACTTATTTCAATTTTTGCAATACAACTAGCCAACAATCTTTTCCATCATCTGAGGAAACTATTTTATCTTGTCTTGCATGGCTGGACTTGACAGATACTATATCAAGCTGTTCATATATACTGGCGGCAATTTCAAGGAAACATTTAGAAGCAGGTTTACCAGATCCTACAAAAAACTTCAGAGTAAGGAAAATTTGTAAAGCATTATTTAAACAATTGAGAAAAGACTTTACTCCTGAATGGCCTCGTGATCCACTTCCTATAAAAGCTTTAAAGAAATTTGTTAATTCCAAGCCAATATTTGCAAATAGCAAGTTGTGGAAACGAGATGCAGCTTTAGTAGCAATTGGCATAAGAACAATGTGTCGTTCTGGAGAACTATCAGGTTTAAAGTTAAGAGATGTAAAATTTAGCAATAAGTTGTGCTGGATTAGAGTTTGTAAATCCAAAACGGATCAATTTGCAAATGGAAAATTTATCCAAATAGAGAGAATAGATAGCCCTTATTGTCCGGTTAAGCTCCTAAAAAATTATTTAAATTCCCAGGATAATTTTGTTGGGGATAGCCCATTGTTTCTGGCCAAAACAAGAGGACATATGTCGGTGGGAGCTATTGGTGCAGTAGTTAAAAGAATAGCCCAAAATGCAAATTTGGCTGGTCGTTATACTGCACACAGTATCAGAATAGGCGGAGCAACTGCTGCAATGAATGCAGGTTTGTCTCTGGCACAAATCCGTGCAATTGGAGGATGGGACAGCAAAGCAATTATGTTATATTTAAGAACAATCGGTACGACACAAATGCAAGTATCTAAAAGAATGGGGTTTTAAAAAAAAAAAAAAAAAGAAAAGAAAAGAAGAAAGTGATCCTCTTTTTGTTCCCATATGTGATTCCAGCGTAACAATTGATAAGTTCTTTGATCGAGCAATAATAATGATTGGCTCGTCAACGAAGTGACAGAGCCAGCATTATTGCGAGATCAATTATTTTGGTCACATGAACAAGGCATGTGAACACGTGCGAAAGAAACTATTTGTATATGTAATAATTGAAGAACAATGATGGTTTATAAGCATTCGAATTGAATCAATGAAGTCTCTATCTTTTGGTTTCGCTATTGCCTGCCTTGCATTATTAGGCTTCCCATCCCTCCCACCCAGTTTGGACAATTTGAACTAATACCTTAAGATGTAGTCATGAAGACAAGACATTAATGTGTGAAGTATAAAGTGATCGTGGCTCAGAGGTTGTAATAACGCGATGACCACTTGATCAGTGATATAGACAATGATAATAATGTTAATGATGTTAATACAAATATCGTGGCTCTAAGGCTAAATTAGCGCAAAGACCACTTGTTTATATTCTTTTACCTAGTAATTACAAGAAAAAGGACTAGATAACATTGAGATTATCAGCTAAGAATTTGAAGTTTTATATTAATACCGATACTCTTTTGTCGCTATTATCTAAATACTAACTCTATATCTCTTGACAGCTACAACTTGATAAGAAAATAACCAGTATTTAGGTCGAACCAAGTGCTTGCATATCCATCTACAACTTGATGAAGAAAACGACCAGTATTTAGGTCGTGACCCAGAGAAACAAGTGCTTGTATATCCATGTATGAGTATGCTATGTACAATGCCTGCGAGACCTACTTCCCATATGTGATTCCAGCGTAACAATTGATAAGTTCTTTGATCGAACAATAATAATGAACACTGCATATCATTTTTTCATGTGAGAATCTGAGATTTTATAGATTTTTTGAGATTTTAAGAATTAAACTGATTTCAAAGAAATATAAACGTAACCAATCGAAAATATAAAGTAACAGACAATCTGAAATCTTAGTGATTCTCAGCCATCATCATCACTAAAATCACATGTCACATCTTTTTGCAAAACGCTATAAATTATTGCGAAAATAAGTGGGAGTTTATCCGGTTTGAAATTCCGAAATTAGAAAACGAAATAGGTGTATTTTTCTGATGATATAAAAAAAATAGAACCTATAAATCATTTATTTCAATGATCAGAGAATCGATTTATAATTCAACATAGTAAAAATAAAGGGAAATTCTATTTTGACCCGGGTTATTTTAACCCATCACGTGACACGAAGGGAAGTTCTATTTTAACCCAGGCTAAAATAACCTACTCGTGATTTGTGGCTAGTAAGATTTTCCTGAAATTAGTAATAGTAATGTAACTAAAATTTAGCAGACCGACCAAAATTCAGTTTTCAGAAAATTTTAGTAACATTATGGGTTAAAATAGAAATTTCCTACTTATTTTTCGAAATACGCCACTTTTGTTAATTTTGAAATCCCGATTTTAAAATTTAAAGCCTAATCACAACTCTAGTTTTTGAAAGTAGTTAATTTTCTGTAGATCATCGTATGTCAGGAATCTCTTGGAGAATTTGGTGTATGTACGTATGTTTTTGGGTTGCAAATCAAATCACGCATTAGAAATAATATTTTGCACCATATTTTACCTAATTGACCGACGTAATCACTGTTTTTTAGAAAGTTCGAGCGAGAAAAACCCTTCAAGTTCGTAATACTAATTATATATATTAATATATCTATAGAAATGTTAAATGTAGTACATACATATGTAGATGCTAAATCCTGCTCATAATATAAATAAATATGCGATATGTGCGCCAAATTTTTAAATGAGAAAAAAGGGTTTAACATTAATCTACGTATTCATTGAACATAAGTGCGCACGTTCATTAAAGACATATAATGCTAATAGTCTGATTCGCTATACAATATGTAGAGTACAATGTAGAATTTTTAGTGAAAAATTATTCGGGGGGTTTTTTTTTCTTTTTGGAGTCTATTAGTTAAATTTTTTTAAGATTACAAATACTCAATAAAAATTTTTCATAAAGGTTTTGGAGTTCGTATTTGTTTAAACGTTAGCAATGTGTGTGAAAAAAAAGTAGCCAATAAACAGTTTTATAAATTCTTAAAGGTTATCCGGGATATAATATTTAAATTCAATATATCAGGAAAAAAAAACAAAAAATTTGGATGCATATGCAGAAGTATATGCAAATTATATTACATGATGTTGTGTTTAATTTTTCATTCTCGCGGATCTGTAGTTAATAAATTGAAATAAGGAAAATAAGACTATACAGGGAAAGGGCGGATAACCAAATTTGGGATATTAACAAGTATTTTTCCTTATATGAAATTTTTCAAAAAAAAAAAAAATTGTCAGCTTGATTTAAATTTTTTATACCAAGACGTAAATTTAATGCCGATAAATGCTACTGTATCTAAAGGCAATTCTTCCCAATCATATTGTCAAATGTAAATATAAAATAATAAGAAAAAAAATACAATATAAAAGATTAGGTTTGACATATCGATGTATGCATACACACCCATTATTCATAAACGCTATTGTTTGTCCGACCTCCTGACATGCACGTACCGGCTAAAAATTGATTGCAAACTAATTAAATTAATTAATTGTATGGTAGCAAAAATTTAAGATATTAATCTAATTCTACATGCATTGTTTATAAATGCTTGCTTGAATGACGATCCTGTAAAGGGCTTAGTTAATGTACATACGTATGTATATATCAGATATATTGATTCTATCATTTAGTTATGGTATGTATCTTTCTTCACTAAGAAGCCTCTAATAAAAAAATATTTATTCATCCTAACGTAAATAATGCAATTTGTTCAAAATATGATCTTTCGTTACTTGAACATTTTGTGAAAGGCGAAACAAAATTTGTAAGTTTTATGTCCCTAAATCCAATAAAGTGTAATACCATAAGTAGAAGCATGATATACATAATTTTCTCCTTAATGCTTCTACCTAAAATGATGATAAAGCGCGTACTACAGTGATCACCATATTTAAAAATTTTATCGTAAATGCGCATATAAAGGCCAAGCATTTTCTCTACTTTCTACAGAAAATAAACCGTTGGTATTATTAATTATTATATATTATTATTTACAACTCTCCAAAAAAAAATAATAAAATAAAATGACCTCAAATTTATTATACACTCGGTTTTTTTTTCTTATGACGATTTCTTTGTGCATTATTGCATACCTCTCTGATATTAGTACTGCCTATAAATTTGATCATCGTATTGAGCTAGTACCTAGAGATAATTTTACCAACCACATCGAAAAACGAAACTCTGGAGATATTACATTCTATAGCGCAGGCCTTGGTGCATGTGGTAAAAGAAATAAGAACAGTGATAAGATTTGTGCATTATCACGTGATCTGTTCGGTTCTTCACCTGGTGGCAATTCAAACAAGAATAAAAACTGCGGTAGAAAGCTTAAAATAACTTGTGGTAAGAAATCAGTCACAGTCACTGTTGTGGATCTATGTGAAGGATGTTCTACAGAAGATGTTGATTTAAGTCCGTCAGCATTTGATGAACTCGCTAAACCTTCGGTGGGACGCATGAAGTGCAATTGGAAGTTCTTGTCATAAAGCTATGTTGAAATTCTCAAGAAATCATTTTTTTAAAATTATAATAATGGTTTGATGTTCCAATCTGACATATGCGTAAATATTAATAATAATTCGTGTACGTATATAGACTTTTTGTTCACCTTACATATTTGTATTAGATTAGAAAATATAATCTCGTACGATAAAATAATTACAATCTACGGGGTTTTCAAAGTCACTCCTTTTTTTCGTTAAATTACAATATTGGAGTGTTCTTATTCTTTTTGTATAAGTTTTGTGCACACTAATTGAATGAAACAATAAATTTATGCGCCTTATTTACCATTTAAGTGAATAGTGGCATAACGTATTTCTGAAGTTTCTTGTCTACGTAGTCTTTTTTTTTTTTAAAAAAAAAAGGAGTTTTCATGTTCTACAACACGAAATTGTAGTGACCAATATTCTCAATAACGAGTAAGGTATTACAATGCTTATAGTTATTGTCTGTTTTCGTTTGATTCATGAACGAAATATATAATTTGTGTTCGATCACGTGACATATGAACACGTGTCATGTTATGTTAACTAACTGTCCCGAACATAGCGGTTCATTTTGATTTGTTAAAAAATCCTTTCTATGTTAACATAAATTTTTTATTACTATCAATACTATATATGAGTGCTGCCAAGGGAAAAAGGCCGATCGGACTTTCAATATATTTTGTTAGCCGTCTATGGAAAATTTATCATCAATTATTCATAGACGATTAACTGTATACAAAATATATCCGATCGGCCTTTTCCCTTGGCAGCACTTATATGTATTATATATATAATTCAATAGTAAACCTAAAACGTTTTATAAATACTAAACTAAATATAACCAAATATAATTTATTAAAAAAATTTAGTAAATCTCATTCAGAAACTATATTTTAGATATGGAGTATTTTCATGATCTTTTTTCCTCTTTTCATTAGTTTATAATCGTGAAGTATATTTGGTGGTTAAAATATAAGTACTTGAACTTGATTTCGAACATGCAAAAAATGTCAGAACTCAAGCTTTTAAATTTGATAATTCGTAGTTGAAACTTTTATAACCTCGGTTGATCAATACATTTTTTGCTATGATACATTTAATTTCATCGTCACAAAGTCCTTTTATTCCTCAGCAATTTCACCTGCCACTCCTTATCATTCCCAGGAACTCTATATAAATATTTTAAAAAGATTTTTTCTCATAGTTTTCTAATACTCGGAATCTTTCTATATGACAAGTAAAATCAAAAAAAAAAAAACAGAGAAAACAGAAAAAACATAGTGAAATATTTGAAATATTAGATTTATAATATTAAATACAGTTTGTCACCGACATTTCATATTCTATCTGACCCAAAGTAAACATAGACCTGTACGTTTTATCCTCGTCAACATAACATTGCATGAATAAAAGTTGAGAATTCTTTGAAATCAGATTCTTATCTGTAACATAGTCTCTAACCTATTTATAATTGTAGTCCTTAGAATATTGACATACATATATATATATATATATTTATATATATCCAATTAAAAAATGATACAACTCCCTTACAATCATCATACGATTTGATGTTTGATAATCTTTCTGCTGAAGATGGAATGTATAACATCAAAAACTTCTCATTACCGGACATTATTGGATTAATCAACTGCTTTATTAATTTGCTCCTGCTGGTTTTCTCACATTCTGATCAAACATCCGAATGATAATTTTTATAAGAAAATCAAATATATCAAAACATGAACTCACTTATTTATCCTCCAAGTGAAATCCTTCCCAAGGTTCACCATCAAAACTAGCATGTACAACCACAACATGTTTATATTTAAATTCAGGAAATAAAGAAATTGGGTTGGTTCTGCTTTTAGATTTTTAAGGTGTTTAAGTTTCTTAAGAAATTTCGGATAATTTGTGAATTTAAAAGATTTTTCAATCTCGGCAATTTATCCATGTCTTGTTCTAAACCCATCTAATTAACTTTAAAGTGACCATACTATAAAATGTTTAAATGTGAACACTTTATATTAATCAAAAAGAAATAAACCAACAAAATAAAACATAAATACACACTAACTTCCATGATTTTATCGGTATTATCACCCCAATGCACGATTTCAGATGCACTTATATACTGCGTCACACGCAACCATAAGGACCATTTGAATACCTTTTCAATCCCATAATCACATTTACATGATCTTTAGGTGGAAAGACTAAACAAGTATCTTTAGGATCGAGACGACCAATTCTTCTAGGATTTGTGTCTACCAATTAAAATAAAAAATTAATGAAGGTACTAATTTAAATGTTTCTGACATAATAAAGTTTAACTAACTAACCGTAATCTTCTCTGTGAAATGCACTAGGGGGCATTGAGCAGAAAAAGACGGAGATCAATGGGTGGTGGTATCAAATGCACTTCATCCCGCGTAAATAACTATAATCGTACGGATCTGAACATTATGATTTTAAGACAACAAAAAAATTAACTAAATGTATAAATAATGCATTATATTAAATGTATATAATTGCTTGGGTCTTTATCTACCTTTCGAAAATGAAGAATTTGGTAACAATTTTTATGGCAGCAGAGGTCTTTTTCAATTTTAACAGCTGTCCTACCTTGTTTAGTGCGTCAAGAATATCTTGGTTTGCATAAGGAGAACATCTTCCTGCATTGCGAATACAAAGTAAAATTTCCTATTATATAAAATAATAGAAAATTTTACTTTGTATTCGCAACGCACGAAAGATGTTCATATGCAAACCGCTTTATTTGATGTTTATTTTTGGGTTGTTTCTTATTTCTAATTTCGATTTGGTTTATCCTCGTGAGCCACCTAGGGTTGCTGGTGCAAGTGGTGCACCACTGCTGCACCATTAAGTTATCATATAAATTTAAAGCATTGCACCAGTGGCGACGCCACCTGCACCAACAACCCTAGAGCCACCACAGGGATCCTTATTTCAAGAAAATTCTGTGCTGTAGATCACTGTAGATCCTTTCCGATAAAAATCCTTTTTAATTATTTAAAACTTCTAGCTAGGGATGTAATTAGCAACTGGTTTAGCTGCAGATTTAAGCTAAGCTTAATGTAACTAAGCCGAATAAATAGCCTAAGCTATAATCAAAGTCATAACTTTAAATTATAATTTAAGCCAAAGTAAAGGTAGCTTTAGCCGTGGTTTAAAGTTATTAGATTTAGCTATAACAGTAAGGTAGTTTATTATGTAAAAAAAAAAAATTTAAATAATAAAAAATGAATAGTGAGTTTATCATTTCAGTCAAAAGACTTTTTGCCTTATTTTTGTGCAGACTTATCAAAACTTTATAAATATTAAAGTGAATAAAGTATTGTTCAAATGTTTTATACTTTCCATTATGGATTTACAAAGCATAAACAAATATCAAATATTATTAAATAAGAACAAGATAAAAGTAGCTTAGTTACTTGAAATATAAAATAAAAAAAACTAGTTATAAGAAAATCAAGCTTAATAAGCATTAATTTGAATTAATATAATATATTATAAATATAATTTTTTTTTTAATATTAAAAATGAGATCTTGCTCTTATCTTTATTAAATTTAATAAAAACTTTTTACATAATTAAAAAAAAGGGTTGTTTTTTAAATTTAAAATGAGAATAAGAACTAATCCATAACTAAGTAAATCTAGATACTTTATTTGTGGCTTAAATATATTAGAGTAGCCAAAGTTTATCTAGATTTGAGAATAGGTTAAAATTTGTAATGCGTGTAATAGAGATTTAATCTAGTTAGAATAACATGTTTTTACTTCGTAAAAAGAAATTTGTAAAATAGAATTAGAATAATTTCGAAAATATAAGTTAGATATAATAAAAGATAAAGCTGTGACTATAAGTAGTTATTGCAAATAAGGTCTAGAAATATACTTAAAAGGATTTGTATTTAGAAAGAGCTAGTCAAATTGCAGCTTTAAATATTTGATTATAATTTGTAAAATATGACTTGAATACTAAAATCTAATTAGCTATATGTATTTAGAAAAATAGCTTTATATATATAAATTTTTAAAAAAGTCTGCATTTGCAAAATATAAACTATATATTTATTACTAATAATGTCCTATAACCAAGGCAAAAATATGCATTTAAAAAGATATTATATTTATAAAAATTATATTTATAAAGGTCTAACTACATACATATCTTTTTTTAAATTTATTTTGACTTTTAAAATTAATTATTTAAATTAGTTATTTATTTTATTTGCTTGTTATTTATTTAACTTGACTAACATTAGCTTATTATTTAATAACTTTAATTTAATTGCTTTTTTATATCTTTATTTATTTTAAATTAATTATTTTTAATATTTAACTTGATTATACATTATAGTAGCTTTTTACAGATTTAAAATTAAATAATACTTGTAACTTATAGTAAAAATTAGATAATTCTAATACAAACTAACTCAATCTTAGCTACATATTATAGTCACCAGAATATCAAGTAAGTATTATTGTAACAGAACTTTTTACAAAACTCAATGGTATTTCAATACAAACCAACACAACTTTAACCGCTGTGTACCGCACTAATATGTAAGTTCTGTACCGGAAATTTCTTACAATAAACCATGGCAAAACTCATTATAGTTACAATACAACCAGCTAAACCTTAACTGCATGCTTTATGTATTGCAATAATTGGTAAGTTCGGTAATAGAATATTTTACAGTAACTAATGTTATTTAAAAAATAAAACTACTGTAAATAAGATAAGTGGCACTTTGCAATGGTTACAAATAACGGTCATGTTTACATATATAATTGCCTTACATAAACATTTAAATAATTTATTAATAGTAATAAACATTACAACACAAGCTCAAACTCAAGCTCCCTTAAAATATACAGTATCAGACCTTGTTGTAAGTTAAAAAAGTCAAAAAAATAAAAATATATAATGTTATACGACACAATTAATTATTATAAACATATTAAATTTTGATACTTTATTTGTATATGCAGTGTGAAAGCTTCAGGCTATTTTTTAGACCATTCTTCCTAGAAGAATATTCTTTTAGAAAATTTTGTTTTATTTCCTTTTAAGTAAAATCGAAAATTAGATCGACAGTACTGTAACAATCGTACGTACGGTACATACCATAGAACTTTTTCCTTTAAAGTCTAATTACAGTAATCGAATTTAGCAGGGATGTTCATATCGAACATCGCTGCATGAATGATTTAGTAATATTACGTGGAATATGTACTGTCTGTCCTTACTTAATGTCCGTAAGAACTATCTGTAGACTCTGCGATTAATAATGATAAAAGTTTACACGACATTATCAAATCTATCTATCCTAATTGCCGTTAAGCGCGTCCATATAATTCTCCATTAACAATTAGGTGACCGGCAAATAAATATACTAAACTTTAGCCCACCTCCAAAACTTGAGGCCATCTAATCTCCTAATCAAATCACAGATTTTTAACCAACCCGAATTAGTCGGACGAGCAAAAATTGCAAAATACAAAAAGAGGCTATCCAAATTTATCCTGAGGCACCAACAAAGAGTTTCAGAAGCATTGCTAATTTAAACACATTTTACAGGGTTTCGTATAATCCGCTTTAAGTGTTCAAATATGGTAGTTGGTTGCCGTAAACATGATTGGTGACAAATAATGGTACGTACGTACGAAGTTGGTATCAGTGCACAAAATCGTGACATGACGTGTCCTGATGTTTTTCTAGCGATGTTTCCACTAAACAGAATTTTGGATCTGCAGCCGGAGATATTAACAAATATATACTATCACTTTTATTTTTATGAATATATTGCTAAAAAAATTCTTTCTTAATTAACCGGACCTCCGGTATTTTACTATAGAATTTTGTACTCTGGTTGGTGTGGCTTTATTGCCGTTACAGATTTTCATACATTAAAAATGTTTAGCGAATATTATTTGAAATGTTTTTTGCTTTCGGAAATTCTATTAATCCATATTTTAGTTCAATTGTATTTATATTTATTCAAAATTAAAGAATCTCCGATTCCCACACGGCATTGTGACCTATAGAGGTCACATCTTTTTGAAAAGTTCAATAAATGACAACCATTCCGAAATTCGAAATCTTGATAACTTAATAATTTAGCAACTACATAAAAAGGTTTTCTTTTATCTACAGCAATAACCTAAAGAAATCCACATAAAAAGCTGCATAACGTTGCTGCAATGCTGGTAGATAAGAACAGTAGAGATTTAAATTGTCAGAATTTTGAAATTATATGATTGTCGATATTTACACGTACAATATAGCCTTTCATACATAATGCCTTATTCATTAATGTCTTATTCATTAATGTCAAATCAGTGTAGTGTTTGTTTATTTACGACTAAATGCAAGTTATGTGGATAACGTCCCTACTACCACTTAAAAGCCATATATATAGAATAACAATACAAAGCTCATCTTTGCTGAGACAATACTTTAACAAAAATACACTAATCAGATTATTAAATCACAAACAAGTATTGGAAATCTGAATATTTTGATGTATAATGATTCTATATTAAGATACTCAACTGAAGGAAAGCTTAATTTAATGACATATTTAGGTGGCAAGAAATTTTTATAAATTGATTTAATGATTTCAATATTTTGAACAGAATGTATATTATTTGATTTCTCATGTAAAAATATACTAATAACTTTACAGAAATTTTGATTTTGCTAAATATGTTCACTATGTAATTATTATATAATAGGGAATATTTAATAGCTTGTTATCATCTTATTAAATATATACGCTTTACGTCAAATTAATAGTGATTAACAGGATAAAAAAAGAAGATTTATAAAAATATGATAATAATATTTTTTTAAATATGTATTTATAATATAAAAATTCTTATAATATTGGAATTATATTGTAGCTATATTTTAAACAGTGTTCTCAAAAATGACCGGGTTATTTGCATATTTTTCGAGATTATTTAAAAGTCATTTAAAAGTCATTTGAACTTGGAAGGCTCAAATATTAATTTAATTTAATATTTATAAAGTTTATTATGCTAACTAATATTATAAGTTACATTAGTTAAAAAAAAATTGGTTTTTGATCATTTAAAGTCATTTTGAGAACACTGTTGTAAATATATTTGGAAGTAGGATATATAAATATTATGATAGAAGCCATTACACCGACCGTTCAAGGCTTTTAATAAAGTTAAAGTGCTATTGTTGGCTAAAAAAATTATATGATTTGCCAAATCTAGTAGAATGGAAACACAAGACATTTGGGATCTCGGGATTTTTCCAATCGGGCTAATTCGGAAAGGCTTAACCAGAATGCCGGTTCTTATTCATGTTGTAAA